CTTTTCTGAACTCAAATTCGGAAACTTGCTAGAAATATATTTAAAACATTGACAGTCTTTATGTAGTGCTTCAAAATATTGTTTCATGAAATCGAGTTCATGCATAGATGGCAGAATAATACGATTTTGTTCCACAAGAGGTATAGGTACGTTTATAACCTTACGGCTAATGCGGAAACAGTGCTTTCCTAGAAGGTCATAGTTTTCTTGTCCAATGTTCAGATTTGGCTCTACTATCTCATAAACATATGAAATAAGGATTTTTGATATAGCCTGCATGTTGTCCCAAAAGAAAATTAGTTATCTTAAAATCAACGCACATTATCCACCTATGTTCGCTGTAATTTATCTTATTCATGACTCATGACTAATGCTATTGTAAAATATTCTTCCTTAACTTGAATGTGCGATCGAGAGAGAGCCTATAGTTTGCTTTCGTTATGCAGTAGTGCATACATCATTCAAATTGCGTTATGATGAGTCGATAAATAAATGTCATTCATTTGTGTCATAACTCTGCAAGCTCATGACAATAATTGAATTATAATTATCAGTACAATTCACAAAATCATCATCTTCGGCTTTACCAAGTGCGGTAATAGGAAATTTTAGTTCCTTTAGATAGAAATTTATTTGATTCAACCGGGAAGTAAGTAATTTGGAAGGTTTTCGATAGTCCAAGGTTCCTAATTAAATCATTAAGCTCGTTTTGATTGAATGGTCTCGTTTCTAAGAAATTTTTGTTCAAACTCGTCATCGCTTACGAAGTCCAGCTCATTCCATTCTATTTTCTTCATATGTGGATGGTACCGGTAATGATGCTCTCCAAATCATTGCAGAATGAAACTTGAAAGAGGTTCTCTCCTTAGTGGCCCATAAAAGTAATTTCTCAATACCAGTTTTGCATACAATACTAGGCTACTTGTTATTTGTTTCCCAATGAAAATTAAAACACTCGAATCCAATTACTGTTTCATAAAGTCTGATGTAACAAAAACAATTTGAATCTTTAATGCAAACCCTTTTAGACGAAGATATGATAGATATTATAAAAATTTATGTAAAATGCGAGGGTAACAGATACCGGCAAAGTAAACAAAGTCAATTTGAGGAACGAATGAAGTAGCTATATGTTACAAAATCGAGCTGATTCAATAAAACAGAGTAGATTCGAAATCAGTGATTTCCTTTCGGTTAACATCCTTTTAAATATTTTATGCAACAAAAAAAAATTTGATTGTGTTGTGCTGTGTTTAGTTATCTGACTTCCTAGATACCCAAAATCAAAATACCCAATTCTTCTATTTTTTCTTTCCATGCATAGCAGTATTTTTATTTTACTTTTATTTATTTTCATACAAACATAAGAATGACGTAAATGAAAGGTATTTGCTTTCTCTTATTAGGTTTCTTAATTTGGTCAAGTAGGAATAGATTCGTATATTGACAATAACTTAGTGACCACTTAACTACATACGTACACAATGCACAAAGTTTTATTTTATTGTCATAATGGTATGCCTAACCTAAACCTTGTATATTTTAACAGTAGCTTGCGTAGGTAAAATAAAAAAAATACAACGTGTAATTATACAAAACCGCTACTGAAGTGAAACTTTTTCAGACAGGGGTTAAGGAATTGGTTTAATGGTATTATTTGTACACTCTGCTTCGCAAGGGTGCAATGCAGATAGAAAATATACTATAGAATGTCTTTATATACAACAATCACAGCTTTTTGTCATTAGACAATACAAACCGGCCGATACCGCCGCAACCGCTATGTCGCTGTATTTTAAGTCTGTAATATCTTCGAAAATATTCATTTAAATTACATGCTGTAAAGGGCCATATTGATCTATATTAAATGCACAATGTATTTAAAAGTACTTAATTGGATAAGGATTAATGCTGTATTGCTTAAANCTGCATTTTAAGTCTGTAATATCTTCGAAAATATTCATTTAAATTACATGCTGTAAAGGGCCATATTGATCTATATTAAATGCACAATGTATTTAAAACTACTTAATTGGATAAGGGTTAATGCTGTATTGCTTAAAATCGCTTCGTAAATAAGCCATTATTTCTCGTGTCTCGTCACGATTATTTTGTGTTTTTCGTCGACCAATACCCCAGATATTTAAATTATTTGACGCTTTCAACTTCTCCCTTAAATTTCCAACATTCAATTTTTTTTTCTTTTCGCTACGTTCCTAAATACTATCATTTTAGTCTTTTTCGTGAATTTTAAATATTTATGATTAATTTGTTCAACATTATATTTAACTAGCTTTTCCCCGCGGCTTCGCTCGCAGAAATTAATATTGTTTCTCCATAAAACTCCCAATTCACCCTTACAACGTTTTAATTTTATGTAATGTCTCCATCTTAGATTTCAAACACAAACGTAGCAACAACATTTTATCCTTAAGGGTTGATTTTTAAAAATTGACAAAATATGTATTTGCTTAATTTCAACAATGAGCAATCTTCGAGTAAATCCGAGTACAAATAAAATATACCCCATGGAAACATTGCAACCTCTTTTCATTTAATTAATAATATCAAACAGCATATATATCAAGTTTCAAGTAAATTCAACCACAAATAAAGTATGTCCCAAACAAAAATTGCAACACCTTTTTACCCCCACCCCTTTGGAGGTTGAATTTTTTTAAAATGTCGAGATAGGTCTTCCAGAAATTAAATAAGAGACTATTAAGACCAGGTTTCAAGTAAATCTGACCACAAATAATATACGTTCCATTTAAACATTGCATTGTGGCGGTATCCACCACATATTTTAAAAGTTTTTCTTTATGTGTACATATTGTAAATACCTTTCTAAAATATTTCTTTTCTATTTTCGATTAGGGTCTATAAAAATTCCTTCCTTTTGTAAATAATCTATTGTATCTTGCTTATCTATTTAAATAACTCTATTACTGTACTTTCCTATAATCCCCTCAGAACTAATTTAATTTCTGTATCTAAAATCACCGAAAACGACCGGGAGGTCCTATTTAGAAAAAACGAAGCAATCATCAGCGACCTGGATGGAAACGTCAAGCTGATAGCAGACCACGTTGGAGATTTATACTACCTGCGTGAAGCCGGAGAACGAGCTAGTGTAGCGGCAGAGGAACCATCGTGTAACACGGAGGCCAGTTTATGGCATGCAAGGCTGGGACATCTTCACAT